CCTCCCCCCACATATACCCCTCACAAGGTGGGTGTGCTAGCCTTGGTGCAAACTGTCTGCTCCAGCCAAGCAGGGAGGCATGCTCTAGCTGCCCCCCACACCCCAAGCTTCTGGCCTGGGCATGGGGCTGCATTTCTGATATCAAAAGTGAATATCTGTTTACTTTCTTATTGGTTCAATCTATGCAGCTTAGACTAACCTAAGAAGATTGAATTGATTCAGTTGTGCTTTTTGAGTGTCTATACTTAGCCAAAGAGAGCTTTTACCATGAAAGCATAACATTGTTTTATTTCAATCTACTAAACAGATACTAAATCTTCAAGATACTGAGAGATTTATTTGCATTTATGACTCATGAATCCTGTTGCAGCTTTGTCCTGCAGTTAACACATTATCTCCCTTACAATTTTGAGTGATTATTGCTCTTAATTCTTATCTCCAATATTTTGCAGGTAAATCATATAATAAAATGCAGATAAATCTTATCTTCTGAGTGGATGAACTGTCACCCTCTTAAAGTATATGTAGATGTCTGCATTCATTTCATTATTATTTTAAGGTGACAGGTATATATAGCAGAATGTCATCTCTGTTTGCCATCTTCTTTTGGAAAATATTACATAATAAGATGTAGAATAAGATGCTATTCAATTTGGATGAGGTGCATGTACAAAATTAATAGTAACAGTTTTTATAAAGTAAAACTGCAGTGGGGTAGGTTAGAAGTGTTCAGCCCCAAGCCTGTGGGCCAAATGCAGCTGATTTTTGGGTTCTATCTTTGGGATTGGAGGCCTGTTCAAGGCTCTGGTCGGATACTACTATATTTGGATCATAGTAAGCATTTTCTGACTGTACAGAAAACTTTCTACATCATATCAATTCTTGTTACGATTTAAATATAAAACAGTCTTTAGAACATACCAGACTAGAATTGGTCCCAACCAGAAAGTATGAAAATGTATTGAAAATTACTAAAGTTCACAAGATAGAATTTAGATAGGATTTTTTTAAAGAGATACTGCCAGGTGAGAAATATATACCGGTGGTAAAATCAGATTTTCCTGTCTCAAAATTTAGGGCTACTCAGATATGGGTTTTGGTTCAGCTCATCTCCCCTACTTATTAGGCTTGTGGGAATAGGCAACTATTGGATTCAGATTCAGCTGATTCAATTCAGAGATTAGAATCACTTTTCCAATTCGAATTCGGCCAAATCGATTTGGAAAAGATTCAGCCGTAGGGTATAATGGGGAATCAATGAAATATCTATACCTTTGTTGGTTTTACGTTGATTTGCATGAAACTTGCAGGAGTGGTAGCCTCTGCTGAGGGCATGAAGCCTGCCATGTTTCAAGGAGATAGGTGCAGGGGTTTCTGGGAAACTGCATCTCAAGCTGCTGACAAGCAAAACTCATGACATGGGTGACACTGTGTGTGTGTGTGTGTGTGTGTGTGTGTGTGTGTGTGTGTGTGTGTGTGTGTGTGTTAAGGCACAGGGGGGTGAAAACCGCAAGCCTGCTAGTTCCTGCTGCAGTCACAAAGCCTGCCATCTGTAAAGAAGATAGGTACAGGGACAGTCTGGGTTCTGGTGACCTGCACCTCTGGCAGGCAGGCAAAACTCATGACACGGGTGCTTGTGGGACTGTGTGTGTGTTCAGGTGCACCCTTCCTGGTGCTGGGCTTCCAGGGCATATGTAGCAGTGCACCTGCATCCTTGCACCTATCTCCTTGAAACTTTGCAGGCTTTGTGGCCTGAGCAAGAGCTACCAGCCCTGCAGTTTTTACCCCACCATGGCTTAACACACACACATGTGATATGAGTTTTGCTTGTCAGCAGCTTGAGGTGCAGTTTCCCAGAAACCCCTGCACTTATCACCTTGGAACTTGGCAGGTGTCATGCCCTCAGCAGGGGCTACTAACCCTGCAAGTTGCATCCAAATCAGCCCCAAACCAACAAAGTTATAGATATTTCACTGATTCCCCATTATACCCTATGGCCGAATCACCAAATCTTTTTCGAATCAATTCGGAAAGCCTAAAGCATCTCGCGATTTGATTTGGTTTTGTAGATTCAGCCTCTAAATTGTCCAAATCATCTCTGAATCTGAATCATGATCTGAAGCGTTGCACAGCCCTATTATTAAGAAATCAAACATTGAAAGAAACCCAAAATAGCCACAAAAAGAAGGATTTTAAGAAATAAATCTTAAAAGATTAAATTTAACACAATGGGTTCCCCCCCCCCACACACACAAGATGCTCATATGCTGCTTTTGGAGCAAAATAACAAGTTATCCTAACTAAGACTGTGTCTAGAGAGGACAAAGATAACACCCCAGCAGGTGGCTTTTCAATAGGTGCTTCTCCAGAATCTTAACATATGAATTTAGAAATTGATCTTCTGTCTGTGACTGTATGGGCCTGTGGGAAACAATTTCCTGTTGCCTTTTTGTGTTGATTGCTATCTCCTTATCTCTCTAATACCAGATAAAGTATTGTAGACAACACTCGGATTCAGTCACAATATATAATATCAAAAGTTGTGGGAGATTGTGGAAGGTTCCTGTATTTTTCTAGAGTAGCAGCAATTTTCAAGTAGTTTTTCAGTTGATCTCATCAAACTTTATGCTGTCATTGTAATACTGATACAGACAATAAATACACTTAAATAGCATCTTTCACTTGAGTGTTTTGGGGTTCTATATAAGCTATTTATTATGTATAAAGGCACTCCTGTATTATAAACATTTTAAACATACAAGCCAGAGCAATGACTTATCTTACAACTCAGAGACCAAGTCAGCAATAAAAACAAAGTCCTGATTTAAAGTACTTTTCTAACCTGTATAAGAACACTTTCCAGAATAATGACAATTTTACTTATTTCATTCTATTATATATTATAAATTATAGATAAATTTGTATGCAATTATCTCTGTTGGCTTTTTTGCTCTGACAAATTAAGGAAGCTTGAAAAAAAGATAAATATTTCATAGTTGGTAGGGTTGGAAGGGACCTAAGCAGATCATCAAGTCTGACCCCTTCCATGAGCAGGAAAGGATGCTAGGGTCAAACGACCCCGGCTAGGTGTCTATCTAGCCTCGTTCTGAAGACCCCCAGGGTAGGAATGAGCACCACTTCCCTTTAAAAGTTGGTTCCAGCTCCTAGCCACCCTGACTGTGAAGTAGTGCCTCCTGATAGCTAGCCTGAATCTACTGTCAGTCAACTTATGGCCGCTATTCCTTGTTACTCCCAGTAGTGCTTGGGGGGAACAGGGACTCCCCCACTGGTCAGTTTACAGATGGCCACCAGATCCCCTCTCAGCCTCCTCTTGTGGAGGCTGAACAGGTTCATGTCCCATAGCCTCCCCTTGTAGGGCCTGCCTTGTTGCCCCCTGAACATGTGAGTGGCCCTCCTCTGGACCCACTTGATGCTGTCCACATCCCTCCTGAAGCGCGGTGCCAAGAACTGGACATAGTACCCCAACTGTGGCCTGATCAGTGCCACATAGAGGGGGAGGATCACCTCCTTGGATCTGCTCGAGATGCATCTGTGGATGCATGACAAGGTGTGGTTAGCCTTCTTGACCGTGTCCCCACCTTGTTGGCACATGTTCATCTTGGAGTCAGTAATGACTCCAAGATCCTTTTCTGCCTCTGTGCTGATGAGAAGGGTCATAGGAAAGATGGAAAATGAAACTTGACTATATACAAAAATGTTGTGATAAAAGTCTGCTAGTTTTCAGTCTGGCCTGTTTGCTAGATATAATTTAAGGACTTCACTAAGCTAGTCACTTCCATAACCAGACTGATCACCCTCTGAGACATTCAAAGATACTCATGTTGATCCTTTTACATATATTGGTATTCTCTGAAACTGCTAGCCAGTGCTGTTGCTCTTCAGACACATGGTTACTTGCTAAACCAACTCTCTCTTTCCTACCTCCACTTCCCCCGCCACACATCTTCTTTCTCTCCCTCTTCTGTTCTTTTCACACACATGTCCTGAATAAAACAACAGCAAAAAGACAGTTTAAATGTGCACTTTTGCTGCTTCCTCCAAAGGATGGCAGGACACAGAGGAGATCTGTCTCTGCAACCTATTTATGTTTCACAGTTGCCAAGTTAAAATGGTTGTAAATACACTGGGGTGAAAGAAGAGGTAAAGGACAGCATCTGGGGGACACAGCAGCCTTTGATCAGTTCCTAGGAAAAGCCCACAGCAATCTCCAGTTCTAGGCAGAAAGCAGAATCCAGGCCTGGTTACAGAGGCAGCTGGCCCTTGGAGCGGATTCTAGTTGGAATGTACTGTACCCAGTTAAAAGACAATGGCTTGTAATGGAAACAGAAGTTAAGGAAAGAGGTCACTATAAAGCACCTTTACAGAAGGCACATAATGCAGCAAAAAGTGGACACTGGACATGGCATGGGACTAAGATATGTGGGAAGCAATGATTGACACCCTGAGAATGGAAAACAACCTAACCAATACTAGTAAATAACAATGAAACACTTGTAAAGGTCTATGGACTTTTTACAGAATAGCAAAGCTGAGAAATGTGATCACTAAACCAAGTTCTGTATTCAGTTATGTTTGGAGTCAATGTGGTGAACATTTCTATTTCTAACATTAGTACTATGCACAGTAATTATGTATATCTCTGAACTATAGCCTTTTCAGGGCATTCTTGTAGTGTATAAAGGGAATTTTACTCTACATGTTACCTTGTTATTAACTTTCCCCTGCAGAGATGGTCAGATATTCATGATTTTCTTGTTACCTGTTGTCAGCTGAGAACACAAAATTTTACTGTAATTTAAACAATGGATCCAGCGATAGAAAGGAATATTTGGTAATAAATGGATTAACACACCTGTGGTGATATTTTGATTTGTAATTTTAAAACCATTTTTATCACTTGTCAAGTAGAGAAAAACACAATATAAGGCACTACAGTGATACTTCATTAGTTGGGAGATCAGACAAAAATCAGATGTTACCTTCATGAGAAATTTCCTTCCAGGGATTAGGTGGATACATGAAAGCAGCATTCTGGATTTGGTCATGGATGTCTTCATCTTCATTGAATGGAAATGTACCACTTAAGCTCACATAAATTATGACACCAACAGACCACATATCCAGAGACCTATTATAGCCTTTGTTTCTCAGCACTTCTGGAGCTAGGTAGGCTGGGGTGCCTACAACTGACCGTCTAAATGACTTCTCTCCAATGATTCGGGCAAAGCCAAAGTCACAAAGTTTAACCTGTTTGGAATAAAGTGGTACAATAAAATAGAAAGATCTTTTTAGTGTATTTTTTCCTTCTGTCTGTTCAAATATTTTTGTTATGATACAGGGGGAGGTATATCATTATTCTTTCTACCTGTCCATGGGCACTTATTTGACATTACAAGCCTACACTTGCACTTTAAACAGGGCATAATCCCATGATTCATTCTGCATTAGACTAGATCTCTAGGCTACAGCACTCACTGTTCACCAACTGTGTTTTCGGTTGATTTGACTGGGCCTGGTCCTTGCTTCTCAAGGAATTGTGACCCTGGTAAACATAGTAACACCAGTCAGCTTGCTCAAAACAAAGTACTATTCATCCATTCATAGGAATTTAGCAGGCACAGAGAAAAGGGTTAAAACAATGAACTGCTAAATTCCTGCTGTCTTAGCCACCTGACAGATACCTAAATCTAGCATAAGTAGAGTTGTTTAACCCTCCCAGCCTATTCTTCTGGGCTAAGGATAGACATTCAAAAAGCCAAAGCCTGAATTGATTCAATCTTTGCAGGTTAGTCTAACTTGCCAAGGTTGAACCAGTTTGCAACTGTACAGACATCCCCTCTGGACTGAAGAAATACAGGCACATGCTTGCAGTGGCTCAGGCTAGAAGCTGAGGGGTGCTAGAGTGAACCCTTCCTTCTCTTCCACAGTGCTGAGATGAGGGGGGCATGGCCAGGCTCTGGCAGGATGCTCTGATTAGGGAGGGGTGTAAACCCCCATCCTGGCCTGGACCATCTCAGGTTTTCCCCACTTGCTGCTCAAAGGGCAGGAGTGTTGCTTAGCCCCTAGCTACCACCCTGAGGCAAGATGATGCTGAGCTTTTCAATCTCTTCCTCCCTGCTTCTTCATACTGTCTGCAAAACGGACAGGGCTGCAAACCAGCAAGGGACTGATAAAACCAGCAGGGGGGCTGATAACACAGTGTTTATCAGCCCATTCACAAAACAAAAGTGTCTCTCATTAATTCAAGCTTTTTTTAAATGATTTTTTTCCAAGGAAGGAAGGAGGGACATTATCAGCCAACCTGTTGATAACTCCAAAAAGCCCTAAGTGGACACTGTTCTGTCTGCCTGTCCCAGTGAAACTGGACACACCCACACACATGTCTCACTATTAGCTAGCAAACCACATGCCTGGGGTTTGTGCTGTGGAAGATAGGATGGAGGGAGGAGGGGATCCCTGCTTAAGCAGTGAGTGGTGATGTGGCGTGTGGCAGGGGGAAGCCAGGCAGACCCTGCTGTGCCTGTAATATGCTCCAAAGGTCTGGCTAGGGAGGAGAGGGGTGGGACTAGTCTGTTCTCTGAAGCAGACAGCCCAGCCCAGTACTGCAAAGTATCTGGGATGCTGGGGGACTCTGGTTTAACTTAAACCAGGAAGGGGTCCAGGACAGACCTCCCAAAGCACTAGCTTGACCCAAATCAGTTAAGTGTGATACTACATTCAACCAGGTTTATCATAAACCAGTTTCAGCCATTTTGAAACTGGTTTATGTGCACTGAACTTATGTTCTGTTATAGGTTTAAACCACATCACTTAAACTGGTTTATGTGTAATGTCTGTCCTAGCCCTAGGGAATACTTATGCCCAGCTTCTCTGCAGTGCCCCCACATCACAAGCTCAGCTCTTAATTGCTTGTTTAAACCTCCAGATTGTAAAATTTAAAGTGGCCTCACTCTTTGTTCTTCACAACCTACACTGCCAAGATTCCCAATTCCACATCTGTAGAAGTAATTATGACCTCCATTTCCTGCATGAATAGTGGCAAGCAAAGACTTGGATCCTGTATATACTATTTAGCCAGCAATAGTAACCACCCAACCCAGGTAAACAGACATGAAAATATGAGAGACATTCCATATTCTTCACAGTCATAGACCTAATTATAGTCCTTTTTGAAGATAGGGTGGCTTACTGTGGCTTCCAAAGATTACTGTGGCTGTGTTGGCAAACAAACAAGTAGCATTGTTAAAACTCTTTATGTGCACATAAAACATCTGACTTGTATTGCAATTATGAGCAAATTAGCTGCCCACTTGTGTATATATATATGCACTTGTATGTCTGACTTTTGAAAATATGATCCTATAGTGTTGTAGAAATTAGGTTAGTTTTCCAATCATATATGATTAGATTTTCAAAAGTACCAGTATCAAGTGATTTGGGGTTTCCCTTAAAACATAAAAGTATACAAAATTACAAAAGTATGCTTCCTTTAAAAGTATACAGAATCATTACCAACTTTTGAAAATCCTAGTCCATAAAGTTAATCATAGTTAATACTTCCTAATTCAGATGTTTACTGTATGTCAATATGTATATGAAGAAAAGATTTTCTACTTGCCTGTGGGAAAGGATCAGCAGATGCCAGTAATACATTTTCTGGTTTGAGGTCACAATGAACAATATTTTTAAAGTGAAGATGCCTCAAAGCAACAAGGATCTAAGAAGGAAGAAAAAACAAACAATTTAGTTAGAATGCTATGCCCTGGGGATTTTATTGTTTTTTTGGGGGGAGAGGGGTTTAATTCTTATATATTTCTAGCTGCAATGGCAATAAATAGAGGATCATTAGTTAGTTCCAATTTTTTTTCTTTTGAATAAACCTTCTGAAAAGGCAGTGATAA